GTGATGTAATTTATTTCATTCTCTGTGGGGGTTGAACTTACATGAGATGAAGAAGATTCACAGCCAGCCATTAAGCATAGATTCATTTCTTCACTTTCAGATTCAGAACTTGAGGATGAATCATTGTCTTGCCAAGCTATGTAGGCCTTTTTCCCTTTGTACTTCATATCTTTCTTATTTTGATTCTTGGATTTTTCTGGACATTCACTTCTTATATGTCCCTGCTTACCACAAGAATAACAAGTATAAGTATTTTGAAGAGAATTAGTTCTTTTATCATTGTACCTTTTAATCTGGCCAGTTTTGTTCTTCTTCTTAAGAAATTTCCCAAACTTCTTAACAAATAAATTAAGATTCTCAGATCCTTCTTCATCAGAGTCACTACTTTCTTCAATTGTCTTGAGAACAATGTTTCTGCTTTTCTTCTCTGCATTTTCTTGTTCTTTAAACTTGTTGATCTCCAACTCGTGTTCCCTTAGCTTACCAAACAATGATGCAGTAGTCATCTCAGTTAAGTCTCTTGATTCTGATATGGTTGTCACCTTTGGTTGCTAAGATCTGTCCAAACATTTTAGGATTTTGATGTTTAACTCTTCCTTGTCAAACGTCTTGCCTAATCCAATTAGATGGTTGACTATATGCGTGAATCTTTTCTGCACATCTGCAATGGTTTCACCTTGCTGCATTTTGAACAATTCATAATCTCTGATTAATTCATGCTTCCTTGCCCTTTTCACATCAGAGCTACCTTCGTGAGTGACTTCTAGAATCTCCCACATTTCTTTGGCAGAGGCGCATTGAGAAACCTTGAAAAACTCATCAAGATTTAAGGCAGAGGTAATAATGTTCTTAGCAGTATAGTCATATTGAACTTTCCTATTTTCTACATCAGTTAAGTCAGCCTAGTCTTTTTCAACAATTTTACCATCCACTGTATGAGTTGGTTTGAAAGGACCATTAACAATTGTATCCTAAATACCCCTATCAAGAGATTCAATAAAGATTTTCATTCTTGATATGGTTCGAATAATGTTGAGAAGCAAGAACGTGTTAAAGGAGTTATGGGCAGAAGCAGTGCAATGTGTCATCTATGTGCAAAATAGATGTCCACATGCTAAGCTAAACGAGAAGATACCGCAAGAAGTCTAGATTGGAAGAAAGCCGAGTGTGTCTCACTTTAAAGTGTTCGGCAGTATAGCTTATGGTTATGTTCCAGCTCAACAGAGGATCAAGCTCGAAGATAGAAGCAAAAAGTATGTTTTTATTGGGTATGATGAAAAAACTAAGGCGTACAGGTTGTTTAACCCAATAACTAAGAAGGTCATTATGAGCCGAGATGTTCAAATTTATGAAGAAAGTGAGTGGAGTTGGAACAACCCGGAGAAGGAGTACATAGGAAGTATAAGCTTGGAAGTTGATACACCATATACTGTGAGAGATCATGAGACTTCTGATGAAGAAGATGAATCTCGTCAGCCTAGAGGACGAAGTTTACAAAATATATACAACTCCACTAACGAAGTGCATATTGTATGTTTCTTGGCAGATTTAGAAGACTTAAGTTTTGAATAGGTCGTACAAGAGAAAAGGTGGAAAAAGGAAATGGACGAAGAGATCGGGGCAATAGAACGCAATAACACGTGGGAGCTGACTAATTTTCCCAAAGGAGCACGACCTATTGGTGTAAACACTATAAAAAAAGCCTATTATCTACGACAAAAATCCATAGGTAATGTCATTTTACCTACGGATTTTTCCCGTAGGAAATCTGTAAGTAATATGGTCATAGGTAATTTACCTATGAAATTATTATCTATAGGTAATGTCTTTCGTGGGTAATTACATACGGATTGTAATCCGTGGGTAATTACCTACAAACAGAATCCGCAGGTAATTACTACAAATTGTAATCCATGGGTAATTACCTATGAACAAAATATGTAGATAATTACCTACGGATTGTAATCTTGGGTAAATTACCTACAAACAGAATCCATAGATAATTACGTACGAATTGTAATCTGTGGATAATTACCTACGAATAGAATCCGTAGGTAATTACCACGTTCAAATCCGTAGGTAAATCATTAGGTAAATTTATAAAATTTCATCACCACCAATAATTTAACTAAATTTTACCTGTTACATGCATATTACACACAAAGTATTTAGATATCAAATTTAACAATATTCCATAATATTGATATGCACCAAGTGCATATTCAGATATCAAACACAAATCCTAATATTAGCATGCATCAAATAGTCATTCAAATATCTAAGAACATATAAATCCAAAGAAGTACTATAATAAATATTATGACGATATTGTTTGAGTGTCTTAATAATTTGAGTAATGTCCTTGTTCATTTTGAGGTTGCTCTGCGAAAGCTGGTTGATGTTGTGATTGTTGTTGCTTGTCTTGTTGCTCCTGTGATTGTTGTTGCTCTTGTTGTTGTTGTGATCCTTGTTGGGAAGGTTATTGTTGAAATGCTTGTCG